AAAAGGGCCATTTCATTGACCCATATCATGACAACAGTCAACTTACTTTTGCACAAAGCCATTTAACAGGAACTGCACCCTAGGGAATGTAGCCAGTTCACAGGCCAGGAAGATTAACTCCATCCCCTCTCATCTTTGTTTTGTTCTTCATCAAAAAGCATGCTACTCTGGTCATAGATATAACACACAATTACCCAACCACTCTGAATTACAAAAGATACTTTCTCTTCTTTCTCTTCTACAGCAGTGTGACTCCTCATTATAACTGATGTTTAGAACAAGCCCCTCAACCAATAATGGATTCACTGAAATAGAAAAATATAATAATTTTGTAACCAAAGAAATGTGGGACCAACCTACATTAACCTGCCAGACAAACGATATGTCACAAGGGGCCATTCTGTGAAGGCTGCAGCTAATGGTACTTGCTTTTATTTGGGACATTTACATGATCACATAAGCCCAGGACTTTCATAAAAAGAGGTACTTCTTAGCATTTCTTAACAGTATGAGATGAAAGTTCAAGAAGATAACTGTAGATAGTAAAACATTTCCTTGGCAAAGAAAACAGTAACTTCTGTGTAACAAAGAGGTCTTTCATTTTAACTCCTGGCTCCTCCAAGCTGGAGATTTTTCAGTGTTCTGTGATTGTTTGGGGTTTACTGCGGTGATAAGATCTTATATGTGATTTCTGAGGCAAATGCAAGAAGGACCGGTTCTTCTGTTCATAAGAAATTTACCTCAATGGAGCCATGCAAATTTATATTTGACAGTGACGTGGCCCTGATTTCTTAACTACAAAGTTATTTTTCCCTTCCTGATGTTTCCACTGCTTGACCTGTCAGGTTTGCACAAAATTAATTGTCACCAGATGATAAAATAAGTTCCAAGTTCTCATCTTTCTAACTGAGCCTTCCTATTTCCTTGTGGACACATGAAAGATTTCAATTTAAGGAGATCAATGGCTCAGAGTCATGCTGCTCTGATTCATGCACAGATGGGACCCTCACTCAGCACATAAGTCTGTTCCTGTGCAGAGTGAATGTAGGATGGGGCTTATCTCCATCACACTGGTCCCCTTTTAACAAAGCGGTTTGCAGAAGTCTTCTGGAGATTCATAATCTGTACATGCAAAGGGACTTTATTAGGAAAGGATGAAGAGAGACCCTGAAAGTAAATCCTGATGCCATGTTAATAGATGTGTAGATTTTACAATTAGAAGTGAATGCCCCTTGTGGTAGCAACAAAGGTCAGAAATACTTCTCTGGGAAGCCAAAGACATATCAAAGAGATTTCAGAACTATACAACAGTGCCAGGCATCTGTGTGGCTTTTGTGCAGCAGATCTTCTGAGATGTGAATCTTCTACTGCCTCAAAGTTTCCTGGGAAAACTTTGAGAGAGAGAAATGTCACAAGAGGTATTTTACCTCCTGCTTCAGTGAGTTTTTTCCCTGGATAAATAGGAAATGTCTCCCTTTTATCTGCAGCCTTACGATACAAATACAGTGCAGTAGTGACTGACAGTTATTTACCATTAGATGGAAGTTTCGATTGCCAGGATAGCTTGGATTTCCAGATACTGCCCATGATGATCTGTTACTAATACCAGCCCCCAAAACAACCTCTTCTGAAGCCTGTTTTAGCTGACCAATAACTTATTTGAATAGATTTTTTTCTTTTGTTTTTTACTGCCACTCTCAAACTGACAGATGTTCTTATCATAACAGCAGTATAACATCTGCTTCCCTTGCTGTTAACCTCTGCAGTCCAGATGATGCATAAGACTGAGCAGTAGAGGTGGTTATAGTTCCTGACAGATCATGTCTGAAGAACAGTGACTGGACAGATAGAAAAACTTTTCCATTGTTCCTCATTCCAACCTGTCCTCACTTTCACAATATTTTATAATGTTACATTTCTGTGCTTCCCATTTGTTAATTGTGTCAGCTCTCCACCACTCTCCCAAGCCTTGATCACCTCTTCTATCAACTTTTTTTTAACCATCCCTGCATTCTCTTCCAGATCTCCCATATTCATGGAATGTTTTTTAAAAATTAATTCACAAAGGCATTACTCCTCTCTTTCAGTTCATTCCTCAAGGTCTACACCCACCAGGATATCTGCAGGAAATTATAAGCTAATACTATCAATGCAGAAAACTAGTGAGGATCTTCAAATTACTTTAAAATGGATTCTATGTTTTATTCGTCTTTCTCACCCTTAGGATTAGATTATCTCTTGACTGGTAGATGCTACCACCATGTTTTTAAATCTCTTTAATGTCTCTACATGGAGCTTGGCTTGCAAGTCACCCATCAATTTTACTTCATGCAGTGGACCAGGGAGACAGAGCACAGCAGGGTATGGAGGGTTATCTCCACTACACCCACAGATGAGAATGTAAAGAAGGCTTGGATTTAAGATACTGGAGGGTTCCATACATTTCACAGCTTTTTGGGACTTCAGGCTTCATCCTCCTCAAAACCTGAGGGGCTTCACACAGCCCTGGAAAGCCAAGGCTACAGGCAAGTTTTGTTCTCATGGAGCCATCAATCCAAATGGACTCTGGAGGCTTCTATGAATTACTCCAGAATTTCCTACAAGGCAACATAGAGCAAGAAAATTGGCATTGTTGCTTAAATTAAGACATAGGAATTTACATTGATTTCTTCTCTTGTGCTTCCTTCGGGGAACACTGTAATTACACTGAGGTCAATTTTGTTCACTGTAACATCCTTTAAACCCAGACCAGCCCCCCTGACTTCAGCGGAGTTAATATGGATTTACACAAGTGTAAGCAAGGGTGAGATCTGGTCCTAATTTAGGACACATCTGCCAGCACAGATGGAGCTGAGAGAGTTTATTGTCATGTTAATTTTCTACGTTTGTTTGAGATTCTTCTGAGCATGGAACAAACCCAACAACTTTAAAAACTTGCAACATAGGCAATGCTATCCCTCCTTATTGTGGCTGGTGAATTCCACCAGAGCACAAGATGGCCTTGTACTCAAGTAAATCATGATGGCTTAAAAAAATAGCCTCATGAAAAATAATGGCTAAAATTGTCATCCTGTAATCACTTTGAAAGGTTATTAACTTTCTATGATGAGCAGCTCTATTGATGTGCTCCTGGCTGTTGTAAAATTAATTGCCTGAGTAACAGTTTTCATGAGTAGCCCAAGGAGCAGTTTGCCACACTCTTCACCCAGGCAAGGCTACAAGAAGTTCATGCAGAGTTTTGCCTGAGTAATGAGTGCTAAATTTATTGTTTGATGGCTGTGAATCTAAAAAAAAAAAAAAATGCTACCCTTAAATAAAAAATGTTTTATGATTCTGGGCCTTAATCTGTTGATTTTTAAAACTGATACTTTTATCCATTGTCTGTTCTGATGCTTTAGAAAGTGAATGAGAGAGCAATGCTTTCTGATAAAACTTGGAAGAATATTTTGTAGCACATTCAAGTGGCTTGCATGACATGAAGTAGAATATTTCTTTTTCTCTATTTCTCTGCCATCCAGTATGTCCAGGTGTCTTTTTTTTTTTTTTTAATTAGGCAAATAATGTGTCTATTTTCTGTTTTAAGGAAAAAAAAAAAAAAAAAAGCCACTGCTGATTGTTCTGAAAGATTGTCCAAAGAATTCAGGATCCTATTTTACAGGGGTCACTGTTTGCAGAAAGTATTGATTTTATGATGGAGAAAGAGATCTTGTTGTCTTTAAGTTCTGCTTTTACCGTGGAGTCAGAAACCTCACAGTTTTTATGCATTATTATATTGGCTTAAGGGATAAAAACACTGTTGAGCAGATCAGTACCAAGTTTGAACTACTAAACCCCCTAGTGTAAATGTTAAAAATCAGATTCCTAGGAATAAATACAGAAGGGCAAGATCTTTTCTGGCTTAATCTGATTTACCTAAGTATTTATGCCAACACAGGCTTAGAGTGCGTTGTAGATAAGGAGTAATACAACTCATTCTTATTCTATAGCTGTGAAAATTTAAAATAACTCCTGTACTCAATATTTTCCCTCAAAAGTAGTGTGAGAAAAGTCAAACGAAACACACTGAAAATGATGTCCAGAATTTGAAACAAAATGAAACACATATGGGGAGGAAATTGCATTACAATCATTTGATTACATATTTCAAACAGATTTCTGGGGCCCATGGCATATCCATAAAGGAGATGGATTTGGTAAAGCAAGTGTAGTGATATTAGTGTAAATCTGCAGTTGCTGCAATGACATCATATTAGCACCATTAATTAAGTAAAATTTTGCTGATATTTATTTTTTCCCCTCACCCTATTTTAAGTGGATGATTAATAATTTTGTAATCTGAGCTCTTACGTAATAGACCATTCATAATAGCAATTACTCATCAAGAATATTCTCAGCTGAACAATTCGGTACAACAGGTCAGATTCAGATTTCCCATTGGTTTGTTCTTCATGTAGTTGCTCTGAATCACATTAGGGTTAACCAAAAGCAGAAGGCTTGTGTTTTACAGAATGTAACCCAGGAAACACAATTCAGAAGGCAATTGTAACCTCTGTTAAAGCTGTCCAAATTTAGAGCTGTGAATCAGAACCATCTGTGGTGTAGGGTTTGGATACGCGGTTCCAAATTTTCCCTACATGAGAGATTTCAAAAGATTTTAGACAGAAGAAGGTAAAGAACAAAGCCACCTATCAAAGACACAGATGAGGAAAAAATTCTCAACCCCCACAGGACTGCTAAAAACTACACTGGTGCCCAGTATCAGACAGAAATCAAAGCTGCAACACCCTTCCTCACCTGGGAGCAGATAGTAGCTGGGGGATTGGCGCACCTGAGCAGGAGGGGCAATAAGCATATAGGGAGGTGCTGGGGAGGGGTGGCTTCTAACCACAAGGACCTTGTGGAAAGGAGCAGGTGTGGTTGACTTTAGGAAGAAAGTGGATGTGGGAGTTCGTCTGTGGGGGCTGCCTCCCAGCATTGCTTTTCATTTCGTGGCAGGTTTCTGGAGGGTTCAAGCATGGGCAGCTGTTGGGTTGTGTTAGCCTTCTGCTGCTTGGGACAGTTGTGTGCAGGTAAGGGGCATCTATCTGCAGGCTCTTCTCCTTTTTTGTTGCTCCTTTATGTATCTCTTCTCTTTCTCTTATGTTTTTTTGTTTTGTCTTAGATGTCAATTCTCTGCTCTAGGACCTACGTCAGGAGGGGAGTTTAGTGCTTCAAACATGTTTTTCTGGGAGATTGTTAAAGTGTCCCTACTGTAGCTGGGACAGTGGAAAGGAAGAAGAGCTGCTCAATCTCTCTTTTAATTTTTAGTTAATTTTTTTCAGGAGACTGGAGATGGGTTGAGCTTGTGTGGGGAGGGGGGAACTGTCTTACATAAACTTCATTCTAATAACACTTGCTCTTTCCAGTGCCTTCCCCAGACAGTTTTCCTTTCTGTAAGGCTTTGCTAAATCTCTCACTCTGTATGTTAACAAGTCCAGTCTTACAAACCTTATTAAGGCTCCTTACTGCTAAAGGATCCAAGAACTGACTGTACTGCTTCTGGCGCTGCCACTGGAGGGGGCAGGCTGTACATGAGACCCTAAAGACAGAGGTTCAAGTCTCCCCTATAACAAGGTTTTGCCTTTGTCCTTCTCAGGTGATGTGACCCATATGTTTGAAGAGCTACATCTCTTACTTCCCTCCCTAAATTCTTTGGTTCCCCATTTTGTATTAAAACAAAACCCCTAAATCTCAAAATTTCACAGGACAGGTAGGCCATTTCCTCTTCAGCTGCAGTTCACATCTCCCTTCTATGCTTTAATGTTGTTTGCTGTTACTGTCAGATCCTCCCCTTTGAGTCAGAGCTTGCATCTGGAGAGGAGAGGAGAAAGATTCTTCATATGCTTTTTTGGCAACTTTCTCTTCTAGATCAAAGCCTGAAGCCTCGGATTGCAGCCCCTCAGTTTGCTACAAACAATCCCACTCTTACTACAGTTGCTCTAGAAAAACCTTTCTGTATCTTTGACAGTTCACTGCGTCCAAATAAATCTTATGTCATCTACTTGTATGCAATGAAGGAATTGGGTGAGTATCCAGCTTTCTGCCCCTCTAGGGGAAGATAACTATGTGATGTGCCATTGCATGCAATTCTTCACAATTTGATGGGAGTGGATCTGAATGGGGGAAAAGAGAAAAATGTGTGGTTGTAAGTTACGTGCAAGCTGAGCCTCTGGTCTCAGTTTTCTCTAGGGTACTATTATAAAATATAATATAAATAACCATAGCATCTCAATGGGGCTGATTAATGAAAGCAAGCGTTAGTACTGTGTTAGCTGACTTACAGTAGATGTGGAGCAGCACTATTATCTATAAACCTTTGCCTGAATCTTGCTAACGAAACCAAGCAGTCCACAGTCCGATACCTTATCTTGGTCTAAACACAAATATTTTGTATAAAAATCTGAATTCCCCTAAGTATAAGCCTGCTGAGAAAAACTGGGTAACTGATGCCGTTTGCTTCATAGGGTAGCCAGCCCTTGCAAGGACTAATTTTTTTTTTTTTGTAGACAAAGGTAAGTAATGCTAGACTTGTGGTCAAAGCTGCCTGGCCCACAGATTCATTCATAAAATTAATTTCATAACTGCTTGGCAATAAAACACTGCTGGCAGTGACCAAGAGCTGCGTTCTCTGTTCCCTGCTGTTCTTGCAGACTGTTTTAAATGCCAGCTAGAGCTACTCCATAAGCTGACAGAAATAAATTACTTCCTTATAGCATGCTTTCTCTCCTGAAGGCTGTATGCAGCCTTCTTTTCTGAGAGGCCCAAAGAAGAGATTTGAGGGGGGCAGTGGTGAAACTGGCCAACAGACAAAACAGTCTTAAAACTTCCACTGCTGATTGTTGCCACTTTGGACAAGGTGGAAGGAGGAGGCCTTGGATGGTCAGAAGCCATAACTGGGGATACCATCCCATACAACTAACACAGACAATTGTAAATGCACAACCTTCTGAGATACATCCGTGACAGCAGTGCACATCTTTATATGTCTAAGACTATAAGTGCATTATAATTACATAAAAGGCTACTGATACTTAGTTATACCTGGAAATATGATGTTTTATGTTTGAAATTACATCAACCACCCCATATTCTGCAGATTCTGTGGCAAAATCTTCCTACACAGATGGGTGAATCTCTACAGAGATATATGGAGACCTCTCTTCTGCTTTTAAGACAAGCAGATGCAAACTTGTTACTTGGCAGACTGGGAGGAATTTTGTTTGGATTTGTCTCTGGTCTGCAGAGAAGCGCATTGGCTCACCCTTGGATGCCTCCTGGAGCAGGGAGAAGGAAAATTTAGGCAAACTTATTCTTAACAACTTATGTTCAGCATACTACAAATCTGAAGGTCTAACAAATTTCTGAAGTAATGTAACTTCTAGCTGTATTCTTGTTAATGTTGCTATCAAACTTGATCTACCTAGTAAAGTTTTAAAAAGCCAAACAAAATCCAACAAAAAAACCCTCCACAAAATGAACTTGCTTAGGTGTCAGCTCTTACTTGCTCACCAGAGCCAGGCTAAGAGTTATTGAAGTGGAGACTGGGAGAGTAGGAAGACCTAGCGGTGAGAAGTATTATAATCTGGGAAGGTAAGCCTAAGAGTAGAGCAGGTCTTGGCTAGTATTTGCTTTCATGTTATTGGCTCCCATTGAAGAGAGGGGTGTCAGAGCTCAACTAACTTGAGTACTGACCCTTAACTTGTATTTCTAACCTGTTCTAGAAACTTCTCCCTTCTAAACTAGGTTTAATTTTGTATTGGATTACAGCTAAAAACTTCTCATGACCAAGCAGTTGCAAGAGCTCTGCTCCAGGAGCACAGCAGAACACTTTTAAACTGAAGTAGTTTCCAGTGTACTGCAGCTTTGAAAAACTGGCCTTCCTTTGTTGTTGAAGCTGGAGGGGGCTCCCCCCCCAAAAATATTTAACCCAAAGTTGCAGAACTTGGGAGCATCTTTTGGGACTTGGGCCTTGACTTTGCAGCAGGAAAGGGCTGAGAGCTGCAACTGAGTTTCCAAGCTATGCTGTAGGGCTGGGCACAGATTCACGCTTTGCTTGAAGCTGTGAGGACTTTCAGATTTCCTGAGGCATGCTGTCTAGAAGCAGAGGTATGCCTGGCTGGCCACAAATGTAGATACTGCATCTGTTCATGCAGCCCCTACACATTGGTCTGCATACTGTGTGGTTCTAGGAGGTCCAGTTGCTGTGTGAGGTCTAAGGGTTTCTGCTCCAGGAGATGGGAGTGTTGTGACTATAGGAATTCTGTCTTGGCTATAGTATGAAATCTGAAATGGCAGGCTTTACTGCATGTTCATCGGAGCCATGTGTGGCATGGGGGAAGAGCAGCCTTTGGCACGCTCCTCCCTACTCCATCAGATACTCCTTGGAAAAGATGAATTTTCCAAGGATGGCTACTAAAAAGTATTGATCTGAGATACACTGTGGATCCTTCAAAGTTTCTGAGGGACAAGAGTAAAGAGCTTCATCAACAAATAAGGAGGAAGGGGTAGGATCACTACACAGCCAGACCAGTAGCAGATTTTTAGTTTCCCTTTTGAGTGTGTTGGGGTAGAAGAACAAGTTGCCAAGTAAATATTGGGTGCATGGAAAGAGTTGAAAGAGTTCTGACAGCTTTGTTAAAAAATATTTCTCCTGCAGCAAGTGCAATAAGCTCCCTGGTGACCAACAACAGCAGCAAACCACTCAACAGCACCTTCCAACAAACAAGTGGGGGGCAGCTTGGACCTTACAGAGCTGCCTTGTTCAATGTACCCAATTGTGCATCGCCTCCCAAACTTGCTGATGTAGGAGATGTCAACAAAGTTTCTGATGTCCTGAAACAATACCTCTTCAGAGTTGGGGATGATGTGACTTGTTTGTATGACCCAAACTTCCTAGCTGTCTGTAACCCACCTCTTGCACCAGACACAACATACAGGTATAATTCTTATTTCTTACAAGGTGATTGCTGCTCTTAAAACACAACAGGAAGTTACATTGGGTCTGTAATGTTCCTCTGTTATGGTATGATGTAAATTACCAGTCCCTAAAGGAAATGCTCCATTGCAAGGGTAGTTATAAAGATGGCTTGCCTTGGGTCTAGCACCCTGAAGATGGTGCTATATAGTGCCCTAGCAGTAGTGAGCTCTATCATGTTAAATTCAGGGACCAGTAGGAAAATTCATGTGTGAACTGCTGGATCGATACCTATGTTGGAGTAGGTTGTCCAGTGACCGCATCCGATTAGAAAATACTGGCAAAAAGGGATTTTGACTGGAAAATTATGCTGAGGTTATTCACCATGTATTTTGTGTTAGATGATTCTGCCAAACTGCAGTCACGGAGCTGGCTCTGCTTGTTTTGTTTTGATAGGATTTTGGGGAGCCAAAATTCTCCTTGGTCTCCAGCTCCAGGCAGCCCCTAATGTTATTGGAGACTTCACAGTGAGGGCCAGGTGGCTTGCAGACTTGCCTGACCCCTCCTGTCTGGAGACGCTGGCCTTCTGGGGAATTCAGGCACCCTGACAGCCGTTACCCGAAACACTTGTTTTTCTGTTGCCAGCTATTTAAAAGCCATAGTACAAATGGCAGTCACATGGAGCCATATCTGCTGTGGAGACCTAATGTGCTTCTGAAACAAAATAATGTGGGCTCTTAGTTTTGCAAAAACTGTCTTGTCTCTTCAGGACATTTCTGAAAACTCAGATTATTGTAGGATGGAAACTTAAAATCTTTGCCAAATCTAATGCTGGCCTGTCTTTTAAATACTCTCCTCTAGCAGGAGAAGTGCCAAAGATCTCTACTGTTGGACAAAATCTTCTACTTCCATATGGAAATCAAAACCACTTGCTGTCCTAAATAATGAGGCTCTTCACAACAGGGAATAGCAAGTTGGGAAAAACTGTTGTTGGAAAGCTATCATCTGCCAAGGCTCACAAGAACAAAGTGCAAACTATGCGTGACATAGCACAGAATGCTTTTCTGTGATTAATTCTATTCATTCTTTATGAGGTCTCTGGAAATAGTCAGTTACCTTTCACTGTCTCCATCTAATGCTTTGACAAAACCTGCAGTCTGACCAGCTAATCCAGTATCTTAAAAATGCTTGTAAGGATGCTCAAATTTAAAATACTTAGCTTAACACTTTTTCCCCACAGGTTTAAATATGTGTTGCTAGATAGCACTGAAGGTATCATGAAAGACCAAACTCTCTGGTCTGATCCAATCAAAACCAGAAGAGGTAAGTCTGTGGCTCTGCTCAGGTCTTCTGAGTAGCTGTGCTTGCAAGCGCATTATTAAAATAGGACACTATTGCTCTGTGAGCAACACCTAGTCCTTTCCTAAATTTTTATCATCAACCTTTTAATACTGGAGTAGCAGACTTAAATACGGAATAAGTCTCTACTTCTTTTGTGTACTTCAAAACGATTCTGTCCGTAAAGTTTGTATGTGTGGTTTCAGATTTGATGCATGTCGTGGTATGTGGTGCTGTTGACATTTCTCAGTAATACACATATTTGTCATACTGGCCAACCTGCTGAGGAAAGCTTATAAACTCTAAACGTTGACACTGAGTCTTAGGGTTTTAGGAATAGACATAATCAGTTTGTTTCTCCTAAATCACCAGATTTCTCCTATTTGGTGAGGGTGTTCATGGTCAAACATAGATCATAGGAACATTTTTTTCATGCTTTTCTAGTTAAACTTCCCTTGAAAATTGACACCTGGCCTGGTCGAAGGAGTGGAGACATGATTGTCATTTCATCGATCCTAAGTGTTCTCGTGTTTCTTCTGCTTGCTGGCTTTCTTGCTTCTGTGTCTGCTGCTGTCATGTAAGTATTGCTACACCTTCAGCTTCCAGTAAGAGTACCTAAGCCCTCAGTCATCGGCCTTCTTCCCTGTGGCTCCAAGCCGCTGTTGCTGGTCTTGTTTGAGATGACAGACCAGATGATGTCCTCCAAATTTTGAAGTTGATAATGGGAAAAGATCATAATCTTCCCTAAGATCCAGCATGTCTTGTAATTATTACACGGCCTTAAGCTTACTAGCTGCCAGACTTTAATAAGGAGTACTGGAGGGGAAAAAAAAAAAAAAAAAGGTGTTGCACATATTTAAAGCCTGTATAGTCTTTCTTACATATTGCAGCTTTCCATCTATTCAGGAGTTTGGAAACTGGCGTTTCCAACAACTGCAGGCGTTTGTAAAGATTACATAAATGTCTTAATCAATAACTTGATTTTAATTTACTTGCCTCCTCCCCAGGAGGAATAAGTTACCCCTTTCAGTTAATAAGTGAGGCTTTACTGAAGCTGTATAACTCAACTAGTCTATGCATGTTCCCTAGTCTTCTATGCCCTATGCCCTGGGAAATCAATGAGGCCTGACTGATTTCTAAATTGAACTTTTGGAGGGAATAAACTAAATTTTAGAAATGGGTATCAGAGCTGCTAACACCCATTCATTCGAAAATGATGCAAGTGCTCTTTGTTCAGTCAGGTCTGGCAGGCTCTCCTGGAGTAAAGATGTGGAAAGCAAAAGCTGCATTGCAAATGATTATTTGAAAAAAAAAATCTACGGGCTTCCCTATTGCTAAATGATTTAAGTATCAATTTGCCTTTCCAAAATGTTGTGACAGTAAGTTCCACTCAGTCTCTACTGGAACTTAATAAAGCCTTTCACTTGCCCACCAGGGGATCAGAAAAGTCTTCTGCAGAGACAAGAGGCATGTCTCAGACCATTCAACAAAGTGAACAGAGACCACAGTTGAGCTCTGAGTGAACAACCTGATTCAAAGTCAAGGGTGGAAATGCAAATGAATTGCTACGTGTGTTAGAGCTACAGGACTGTTTCTTCTACTCAACACTAGTCCAAAACATGCTATAGAACACAGCCAGGCAACTGAAGAAAAGCAGCATAGATGAAATAAAGACAACTTTTTTGAAGATTTGCAATACATGATATCTTGTCTTGCCCAAATGAGATTTGATTTAGTTAATTGCCTTTTATAGCACCTATCCAACGCGTGGACGGAAGAAAGAATCTTCAGAAGATCCTTAAACTTCAGTGGTATGATCAGAGGTTGTCTAGTACTTATATATCATCTGGAGTAAGCATTATTGCAGACCTCTGATCTGCTTCCTACAATCAGATGAGCATGATGTAGCCATTTGTATCTTGGCCTTTCTCTATAGTAACAGACAAGGAATAATGAAAAATGAGCTGCTTGAGAAAAATATGCTCTTAGAGAAAACTAGGGATTAAAATGTAGATAACAGGGAGCTGCTGCTGCTTTCTCAGGATTTTAGTGACTATTTGTGTCATAAGGCTTCCCTTTTTTCCTGTCCTTCCCCAAGAGAAAGCGAATGCCAGTTGGCCTGTATGTAGCAGAGTAATTCTGATCTCAGTTCTACCCTCAAACCGCTTTGCAGGGATAAAAGCTAACAAAATGGCTTCAAAGGAGGTGTGTTCTTTCAGAGCTCCATATAATTTGCTGGTGGGCTAGTGAAGGGGAGAGATTGCTTTAGTGGGACAGTGTTGTCAGGCTTAGCCTCATTCCTCACCTTTACCTTAGGCAATTGCAAGCCTGCATGCTTCACATCTTAGTATCTGGACCGGTGGGTTTTCTTGAGCTAATTTTCTTCCTTTGTTTCACAGTGACTAGAAATAAGTCTCTGCACCAGGTCTGATTAATGTAGTGCTTTTTTCCGTTGATGCCAACTTCCAAACACAGTTTTGTCTCTACAAAATACTTGAAGATCCACCTTCAAAGCCCTACCTTATACCTCTTGAGTATGTATAAGCAACTGTCATATGGTAGCAAGCACATACTTATGATAAGTACAGAGCTGCCACTTATCATTGAAGTCCTCCTAGTTTATCAGTAAATTTGTTAAACTGTCTCACATTATAAATAAATAAGGATTCTGTTTTGACATAGGTAGTTTGCTGTCACTGTCATGACTGGATGATCTTGCACTGATCCTTATTTTAGTGAGTGGGACTCATTCCCTTCCAGTTATGAAAATTAAAAAGTTTTGTGTCAAGTCAAACACTGGCTGGATGGAGTGTTGAAACTGTAGCTTGGTGATTGCAAAATTTTGCATTTTAAACTTCAGGACTGAGGCCTAAGATTTGTACATGAGCTCCCAGTGTTTGGGTATTCTAATGACAGCATGTTAGACCTTGCCTGCTCACTGTCTCGGTTTCAGCTACACAAGGGCTAGCAGGGAGAAGGGAAAAAGCATTCTAAGGGAGAGATGGGTGCTGCACCTTCTGACTAGAAATGGGTGCTGAAGTACCCAGAATGGTACTTTTCTGTTTTTTGGTCATTGGTGCCTTCCCTGTAATTTTCTAATATACAAACAGCATTCTGAGGTGCTTTCTCATTCATGTATTGTGTACTAACTTGGAAGTAATGGATATTTGAAGAAAAAGGGAGTATGGATTGTCGGTGTGCAATGCTGAACACAAGAGCATGTGAGAGATCCCTAGAGTTTTTGCCTCCTGTATAAAGCCAAAGTAGTTGCTACAGAAGGCTCTAATTCCTTGCTCTGGACCCAGCGGCAAAACAAGCTATCTAACAGTAGGATCAGTAAAATTACTAAAGCCAAATAAGTATCCTTTCAACTGTAGACAGTCAGTGCATTATATTGGATGACATCAGTTAATTCTATGACTGGAATAAGTTCTCCTTCATTTTGTTTAAAGGAGTTGCTTGAGACTGTATGTCAGCATACACAGCTGTCACTTAAAATACAACACTAGAATAATCCAATCTGTTTTCTGCCAGTATCTATTAAGACATTCACATCAAGCAGTTGGTCTCTCACTCAACAGATAACTGATTTTAGTCTGTTTCATCCTGCTAATGGGCCTAGCTGAATATTGTGTATTTTTTTCTTATGCTTCTCTTAAGTCTTTAATTTAAAATATCTTCACTATATTTCTTTATGGGATTATCCAGAATGCATTATTTTTAGGGTGGCTTTTGTTTGTTTGGATGGTTGGGTTTTTTCTCCTCCAGAAGAACTGACTGTCTCAGTTGATCCTATATTTCCATGCATACAGGCTTTGGGTTTTTTCACTTTAGCTTTTCAGAATTTCCCTGGTGTTCATAAAGTTTATGTGAAAAAGAATTCTGCCTTTCAGCAGCTTCAGATCTTGGGACAAGTCTTTCTCAAAGAACATGAGAAGGAAGAGAAACTCTAACATATTATGATTTTTATCAAAATTTGCTGTTGAAATATTTTGTTGCAAATGACAGCTCAAACTACTTTTTCTATGCAACCCTGCTTTTAGATAGGGGGAACTATGCATCAAGCAGCTTTAGCTTTTCACAAGATCCTGGATGTCAGTACCCATTCGTTATGCTGTGAGCTGTATTTCAGGACCGTGCCCACTCAAAACGACAGTTGTGATAAATATCAGAACGGGGTCACAACTACTTTTGCTTCTGCATATGGTATTTCCATTGATCTAAGTACTGAATTCTTTCTGCTCTGCTTTTGAGTTCTCACTGAAGAAAGGGTATGGAAATTCCTGTTTGGACTGTATCAGAGGTATGTCTTGATTCTTATCCTGGTCACAGAGAAGAAATGTAAGGTATCAATGATTAACAGCATTTCTTTATTAGTTAGACTTAAGAAACAGAAAGGGGGGGGGGCATTACTCATTTGTATTTTCTCTTATTATTGTTTTGTTTTATTTTTATCATTAAAATGGTTTTATCTCAACCTATGAGTCTCCCTTTTCTCCTTCAATTCTCTCCCACACCCCCCTGGGTGGGGGAGGGTGAGTGAGCAGCTGTGTGTTTAGCTGCCAGCTGGGTTTAAACCATGACACATGTATTTACGTTAAAAGTATCAACAGAAATGAGACAAAACCAAAAAGTGAATTTTGCTAGGTGTTTTCTAGGTATTGCTCATATATTCTTAGCTGTTGCTTTGGGCACTGAATCATACTTGTCATTCCTTCAATGGCCCTGAAAAATATATTGAAAAATGCTGATTGCAAGTGCTTCAAGGTTGTGCTTAGGTTTTATCCATGTTATGTGTGATGGCTGTGAGCAAGTTGAACTTGAGATATCTTTTCAAGACAAGCTCTAAGAAGACTTTGACCTATGCCTGCTGGTCTGCACTGAGATGAATGTAACCATAGTAGCATTAAGTTGCCAAGAATATAGTTGTATACTCCATTTCTGATATTTTTTACTTGGGTTCTGGTATTTCTCTGGGCAGAAAATAATAAATAATGCAGACTGTGCTGTGGAAAAACTAGTGCTGGGATGAAGTTGTACATATTTTCACCTGTATTCTTCGTTAAGCTTCAAATGCCTGGATTCCAGGACTGAAAAGCAAACTGCATTTAATTCTCTCTGCATCACTCATTCCAGTACACTGTTAGCTGAGGCCCTGGCAGAAATGCTGTTTTAGTCTTGTTTAGCAGATGGACTGACTGCACTAAGATTTAGAACAGTTGAAAGCTGAGGTTGTCCATGTGACCCAACTTGTCTGCAGAGCTGCCTGAGCTTGGATGTGGAAGAAAAGTGGGAAAAAGAGTGAGAGCTAGACAAGATTTGTGTGGTTGGTTTGGTCTTGGGGCTGTCCGCTGCTAAAACATGGCTATGTGAGTCTTGAGTTGACTAAAAGATTTTCTGTGCCATCTGTAATAACTTTTGTGAGGCTTTTATAAGCATATTGTTAAACTGTAGCATACCAAATAAAAATAGCTTTTTAATGGAGGATAAATGAGCACAAAAATGGAAAGATGTGAATAGGGAGAGATGTTATGTTGTATTTCTTGAACATGGAGTGTTAATGAAGATAATACCCTCTGCATCTTCCAATAAGTCTTTTCTGCTCTACTTTCACCAGGAAAAATGCATAATTAATCAAAATTAATACAGGGGCAGGGTGAGGGAAGAGGTCATTTAGAGGTAGATTTAGATTAGATATAAGGAAGAAATCATTTACTGTGAGGGTGGTGAGATACTGGCAGAGGTTGCCCAGAGCAGCTGTGGGTGCCCCCTCCCTGGAAGGGTTCAAGGCCAGGTTGGACGGGGCTTGGAGCACCGTGGGCTGGGGGAAGGGGGCCCTGCCCGGGGCAGGGGGGGTGGAATTGGATGATCTTTAAGGTTCCTTCCAACTCAAACTATTCTGTAATTTCCTTCAGAACTACCTGTCTTTTATTCAACAAGTGATTCTGCAGATTATTTGACTAGTCATTAGTATCATTAGAGACTTTAAAAGAAATACCTTCTTAAATAAAGGAGGAAGCAGCTCATTTGATTGTAATAGGTAATGCTTCGGGGCAGACTACAGAAAATTAGCATTCTCAGAAGCTCTTGGTAAGAAACTTTGTATTATACTCAGTAGTATAAGAACTGGGCTGGGAACCTGACAAATGCATGACTAATACTCTTTTTCAGTTAAGTTGGGCCTATAGCATTAAGTTGTTTAGATGCTGAAAGAACCATGGCCAGTTTCCCAAATTAGCTTTGCTTTTGTTTAGCTTGGGCATAAATGCAGATCACTTGCTGGATATATTTGGAACCAGAGAATGAATCTGAGGAAAAGGGTGCTAGTGAGAGCCATACTGTAAAGCAGTCACAGTACTTTTTATTGATATTTGTGATAGATCTGGTTAGCTGTGATCAGGAAACCTACCTCCAGATAAGGACCAAAGGCATTTATCGATGCCTAATGGTACTGAGCATTGATATAGTACTGGATGCTTTTGCTAAGGAGCAAGAAACCTGACATTTGCTACTATAAAAATTT